TTTAATATATGTTTGTAGAAAAATGTTGCTGCTGGAATAAGTGTTGCAACTGCTGCAACTGCTGAAAACCAGTCAAATGTAAATGCAGGTCCATGTGCAGGTCCAAGTGCAAGTTGCACTCCAAGTGCAAGTTGCACTCCAAGTGCAGGTTGCACTCCAAGTGTAGGTCTAATTAGTGCCAGAAGGCCTATAAATGCCTCATCAAGTGGTGTGAGGCTTGCAACTACCTTGGCATCTGGTGGAAGGCCTACCAGTGCTACATCAAGTGATATGAGACAATTAAGTACTCAACAATCAACTTCTAGTGCAGCTGGCCAAAAAAGAAAGACTAGCACAGCTTTAAGAGGTGGTGCAACTCTTGCATATAAGAAATCAAGACCAAAAAAGGCAAAGACAGCTGGTTATGGTCTCTTATTTGGATCAGGTGGCAGTGTAACTGAGAGGGTATGTATTTTATCATTTAAACGCATTAAATTGCTTTAATTGATATTAGTTCATCTTTAAGTTAAGATTTTTGTTGTTCTCTTAGTCTGGAAATACTGATAGGGTATTACATAGTGCTACATTGTCAAGTTCAACTCCTACCAATATTGATCTTGGTTAGAAACCCAATGGACTAAGGTGGAAGGGAAGAGCTGCAATTACTCAAAGGCAGCTACGGGAGGAGATTTACAGAAGCACTCAAGGCACACCAAGCACTCAAGGCACTCAAGGCACACATTGATTTCACTTGGTTTAGCTTAATGGCTTGATCCCAACTGTTTTGGTTCTGCTATTAGGAAGACTTTGTTTTTTTATATGAATGGCGCCTATATGAATTTGTGTTAAGTTGCTATTGGGAAGACTTTGTTTTTCTGAATGAATTTGTGTTTGAATGAAGTTGCTATTCAGATTTCTGAAGCAAATGCAGTCCATTTCATTATCAAATAACACCTAGAACAAATCAATTTATCTTAAAAATAACAGCTAGAAACCAAATAACAACAATCACAATAATAGTGATATCAATACTAGTGTGTGATCCTTGTCTTCCTTGCCTTCTTTGCCTTCTTTGCCTTCCTTGTCTTCTATGTCTTTCTTGTCTTGCTTGTCTTCCTTGCCCTGAACTCGTTGATGGATTCTTAATGTTGTATTGTTCTTGGCATGTTGAATCATTTGCATCAGCCCATCGGAAGAAACCACACCCATTACCGAATGAATATTTTTGGTAACCCCAAAACATTCTTCCAGGATTAGTTGGTGTTCTTGATGTCTTTAGTTCAACATATATTCCACAGTAGCAACATCAAACCGTCATCGTGAAGACCAACAAAATCAAACCAACAAAAATACAATAGATCACAGACAAAAAAAAAGATGAGTAGATCGAAGGAAAAAATAAAGGCTCCAAAAATAAAAGAGAAAATTTGAAGAGACAAAATCGAGAAAAGTGGAGGAAAAAGCTCAAAATGTCCAACAATGGTGTTGAGTGAAAATAAAGAAGAAGAAATGGCCTTTAAAGATAAAAATCTAACCGTTAGTGCCTTTTTAAGGCTTCTCACGCTCTTACTTTGTGTGTATCACACGCTCCATGTGGAGTCTTTCCACATAGGATGCCATATCAAAAAAAGTGTTTAAAATGTTGGGTTTGAATGGGTTCAGGGGTCCAGATGACAAAAGGGTAAGTAGAAGGGTTCACAATACAAACAGATACAAGTACAAGAGTCCACCAGACCATTTGGCCTTTTTTATTGGTCATTTCACTCGAAAAGTTATTCAAGTTAAAAGATAATACATCCGACCACTTTTTAATAACGTGATATCTAGTTTTCTAAGCCAAAAAATAGAAAAACACATTTAACTCAATTCATTTTAACCAAAATGTTTGATCAATAACTCAACCGTAAAATCCCTTTATATGCTAGTAAATGTCAAAAAGATAACATAATTTTAAGTATGAAATTAGCAAATCGGATATAATTTAGAGAGATTTTAGTGTATTTTCTTGAAGAAAAAGAAAAGTAATATAGTTGTATTATTGAGCCACTTTACAGATACCATCTAGAACAACTTGCTACTACAATTCATTTCAAAACTTTTCCTAATTTTACCTGTTAGTTGATCTTGGAAATATATCTTTATTGGAATTTGGATCGGAGAATTATTACTCACTTTTTTACCCCATAATATTTGTTTTTCACTAGATGAAACCTTCTTTCAGTATTAATTATCATCGCGTTTGCTCTTTTTTATGATGACATAATACATAAATATGTCATTTAACTTGGCCTCATTAGTCATTTCTCATTTATGCACCTTTCAATTTTGGGTGTGCACAGGCAAGTGCTTAAACTTGTATAAAGTTAGAATAGACACACGTGTCTTATGTGACATCCTACATGACAATTTGTGTCCTACGTGGTGTCTATGTGTATTATGTCACATATGACTCATGTGTCTACTTGTTCAACTTTATATAAGTTTAAGTATCTATTTGTGCACACCTAAAATTAGAGGGTATAAATGTGAAATGAGGTCAAGTTCAATGACACATATATGATTGGATCAGAAAATTGAAGATACTAAACAAGTGTAAGAGAAGACAAAATTACAAGTTTGTTTCACTTGCTAACTATTTGTAAGACATCTTCTTCATGAATTACCTTTTTCCACAAATAGAGAGTTGATTTCTCAAATGGCCCACTTGACTAATACTCCCTTTGTCCCATTTTATGTGAGGTAGTTTAACTCGGTACGGAGTTTAAGAAAGAAAGAAAGACTTTTAAAACTTGTGGTCCAATATAAATGATAGAAATTTGTGTGGCTGTAAATCATTTCATTAAGGGTAAAATAGACATTTTATGGTTAAATTGTTACTTAATATATAAATGTGTCATTCTTTTTGGGACTTACTAAATATGAAAGTAATAAGTCACATAAATTGAGACAGAGGGAGTAGTTATTAGTATATTAGAAAGCCACTTTTTGTTTAAAAAAATTGGAATAAAATAGAAATGTGATTTTCTGAGATAATAACTAGAGGGACAAACTTGATGGACACAGTAAGATAAAGGTACTAGCATATTATCATGAATGAGTTTGGCCTAAATAAATTTCATACAGTAATAGAGACCAAATGTACAATGTACATTTCCAAAACTACTATACTAAAAATGAGAACCAAAAAAGTTTAAAATAGAATAAAATTATCTTTTACTACTATACTAAAAGTGAGAACCAAAAAATTTAAAAATTGAATAAAATTATCCTTTGAAAGATAAGTGGCCATTTTTCCATTCAATTAAACACTACTTCTTTACATTTAGGTACTAAAAAGTAAATTTACATTTCTGTTAGTAAAGACCACAATATTTCATTTAAATGAAATATTTGTGATGTGGATCTATAATAATAGACCATATGGAAAAAATGGTTTTTGTAAACTCGCAAAATTTGACCATTAAAAGATAATAGCATGAATGGATCCTTTCTGTAACGGCAGTGGAATGATTGAGCTCAATTATTAGCAGATAGCATAAATGAGCGTTTTCATAAAGTTCGATGGCATATTTGATATTTTCCCATTATTGTAAACTCAAACACAATTTTAAAGAATTTTATGTAATTTTTTAATAGTTCACACTCATCGTTATGGGATACAAACACAACACACCGCTCAAATACTAGTATATAATAAAATCTAAGTGTGTATATATATATATAAAGTAGAATGTTAGGCATGCTGATGTGGCATGCCTCTAAGGATTGAAAACCTATTTATTCTTTTTTTGGGTTTTTTGGCCATTTTTCAAATTTTAAAATACAAAAAAGTTCACCTAAATATTAAAGATGGTCATATTTATTCATTCTTTATCAATAGCCATATTTAATTTATTTTATCATTAATATTATTATGAATATAGAGAATGTGATATAACACCTCTTAAGGACTTCTATTCCTTGTTTATCTTTTTTCTTTTTCTTTTTTTTTAAACATTTTGTTGTTTTTTTCCTTCAAAATATTACATATATTGCAATTATTTCTTTAGTAACTAAACCAGTAATGATTTCTTCCTCTAAAAGTCACCATCAAAATTTGAATTTATGCTTCCCAAAAATAAATGACTGGTGGATTATTACTTAATCATAATTTCATTTGCACCATAATATTACACATACACATTCCCTCCATTGTAACTTACATTTCTTTTAAACTCATTAAATCTCTTAGTTCTTAGAAACTCTATTTAAGCCCAATGTATTTTTTTATGGATCAAAAATTCTAAATTTCTAACGAAGAGAACTACATGAATGAAATCTTTCTTCACCTTTTTTCATTCTATGTTGTTGGATTAAATCTCAAGTAGTATAAGAAATACTTGTGCTATCTATTTTTCTATGGTTTATTAATTTTAATTGAAAACGTTGTGTTTATTGTCAGAGGCGTATCCAGGATTTTGAGATGATGGGTGCACTGTTATGAAAAGGTTGATCTATGATATAAATTTGATCGGTTCGACATTTATCTTTTACTACTGAAAAAAGCGTTAAAATTTTAAAATTATAGGTCTAAAATTAATCACCAATTACCACTTAGAGAAGTGTTATCTAATGTTAGAAAGAAAAATAAAACAAGATAAATATAAAATTCAAATTTCTAACCTCGCAGATAGAGGTGCACCCAGTCATAATCACATTATGTAATACTTCACATGTGGGTTCACACATCTATATTTCAATATTTTTTTAAAATATAACACTACTATATATGATCTCGGGCGGGGATCATGCATGAACCCGGTGACCCCCTTAGATACGCCTCTGTTTATTGCACCATGCTTCACATAGCCTTAAACCCATTCTGCCCCATCTTATGGTCATCCCTAAAAAGGGGTAAAAAACGTGATGATAATTGATAAGAAAATAGCATAGTCCTTCGTATGTGGTCCATTAAATGAAGTGAGGGGTGCTTACCATCCGAGCAACTCCCTCTCGTCAATTTATTGTCTTTGTTTGTTGTTTATAATTTTCATTTTTTATTGATTTTAGGTTAGTTATTTTTTGCAGATTGACCATCTATTTATTTGCAGATTGGTGGAAATTGCTGCATCAATCATCACATGTTGAGAGGAGTAACTGATGCACCATTCATCACATATTGAGAAGAGTAACTTTTTTTCCTCTACTTTCTATTTCTATTTATGAGGTGATGATCTTGATAGCTTTATGAATGGTGTAGTCAGGGAGTACTGAACATCATCACTTCATAAGGGTTATTCTTACTTATGTTACCAATCTGTGTTTAAAAAACAAGAATTACTGATTTCAATAAACATTGCAGAAACACGAAGTAACCAAAGTTTAATAAACCAGTAAGAATAGATGAACATAAATTAATTGACAAAACTAAAATCTGTAAAAACATACCACAATCTGGAAAAACAGAATCATAAAAGATCAAGCCCACTGAATGCACAGTGTCCCCTTAAGGAAAGTATTCCCCTCTAGTATCCGAGGTTTGATTTGGAATATGTCATCCCAGGATAGAATGATTTCAATCACCATTGTATTGATACCCAAAACTCTGGTGTCAGCGAACCACTCAACAGCAGTAAAGTACACGAAGTAAATTTTGTGCAGAAGAAGAAGAAAACAGAAAAATTCGTAAGGAATAAGTCTGAAGAATCAATGTATTTATAGGCAAGAGGAACTGGTTCCGAAAGGTTGCAATCCTTTCAGAATCCACACGACCATTCATGAAAGTTTGCAACTATTCAAACGGTCATGGCTGTTTCTGAAAGTTGCAACCTTTCAGAACAGTCACTTCCAACGGCAGGAAATTCAAATAAAACGGGAAAGATTTAAATAAAATGGATCGCGCGTGGATCCGAGTCGGATCGGGTTAATTAACTAATTAATTGAAACGCTTCGGTTAATTAACTAATTAAAACGTTGGCCATTTAATTTAATTTAATTAATTAAATAAATAATTAACTAAAATAATTAAAATAAACTTTGTCCAAAAAAATAATCTCTTGATCGATCATTTTCCAAAGCCGAAGCCCAGCCGAGCGAGCAACGACGACAACGGCGCGAGGGGGGTCCCTAAATTAATTAAATAAATAATTAACTAAAATAATTAAAACAAACTTTGTCAAAAAATAAATCTCTCGATCATTTTCCAAAGCCGAGCGAGCGACAACGACGACGGCGCGAGGGGGTCCCTCTTTCCAACCCTTTTAACAATTAATAGGAGTGTTTCTATATTTAAACTCTCCTATTTTTCTTTCCACCATCGATGAGGGACAAATGCCTTCTCAATAAAGCATAAGAGGACTTGTCAAGTTCTCAACTCTTCAAGTTCCCAACTTTTCAAGTTCCTCTCTTTTCATCTTCCCTCCATTTCCCATTACTCTTGCTACATACCCAACAACTTAGATAGGATGGAGGCAGAGAGATGCGTTATATCACCTTTTCTATATTCAATTTTATATACATTTAACTTATGTCATCTATATATATTTTTATTTTTTTAATTAAAAGAAAGAAAAACTAAGATAAGAACTAAAATGTATTATTATTATTTTTGCAGATGAGATGACAGCCTATTTTTGATGATTTATTTGGAGATTTTATAAAGCAAGAAATCTATGAGGTTATTTAATTTTCATATTATTAACTTAATAATTCGGAGGCTTGAATGTTTTTTATTTTTTATTTTTAAAGAAGGGAAGGTCTTGACAGAGAATAAAAGAAATTTGGAAGCAAGAATTTGAGAAGTTAATCATTTCAATTTAAACTTCAAGAAGTTGCCCTTCTTAACTTTATGTCAAGCAACACTGAAATTGAATATTTACTTCTTTTTCTATGATGATGTCTCTATGTTAAAGCTACTATGATAACTCTAAATATATTTATTCACTTGTGTAATTGCATTTTTGGTCTTTTAACATATAAAATATATGTAATGTGCAGGTTGATAAACTATCATTAGAGGAGTGAATATATTTTGTTTGATGTAAGATTCTTTCTCATGTATATGCAACCTTTCCTATAAAATAAGTTATTATATTGATTCCCTTTGTTTTAATTTTTCTCACGTGATAGAGTGAAATTCAGGAAGAAATAGCATTATCAAAGTATTTTAAGTGATGAATTAACAACAAAAATATGACTATTATATATTGTTAAAATTGAAACTATTTTTGAAATAGTATTTGTTTCTAAATTAAAGTTAAACTTATTAATTATTTTAGACTTATCTATCTATATATAAAAGGAGAAGAAAAAATGACACATGTCATTACCACAATTTTTTGAATTTTAAATATTAAATAATTTTAAATAATCAATAATAAATAATTATTTAAATAAATATTGAAACATATCAATAATTACAATTAGATCCTATGTAATTGTACGGTAGTTACAATACCACAATTTTTTAGTATATTTTAGCTTTTAGATATTTTAGATTTAGACCCATTTACTTATACGTAACTACATATAATTTTAAATAATCATTTTTTACAAATCATTTAATCAAGGAAAATTGGATTCACAATTTTATCATTTTTAATATACCCATTTATTATAAATGAGTATATATTTTACGTAAGGAGTCTAAATATATCAGTATTTTGTATTTAAAATTTATATCAAAAAATAAATATATTTTTACAGATATTG